CCACCCTCCCCCCCTCCCCCCCCCCCCCCCCATTGATAGACTTGGGCTAGAGGGGATTGCATTAACACTCTAAGCATATAGACAGAACTTAGAAGTTGTGAGTTGGCCTGGAGCTTGGGGTCTGAAGCCTGGGGAGGGAGATTGGCTATTTTTAGAGTGCTGCTAGCCTGAGTCTGTCCACCTGGGCTGGGAGACTTGCTCTCGCTTAGTCCCAAATGCTGTGTGGACATACTGCGGTGCCAGAGGCTGCCCAACCCTTCCTTCTCCTCATCCCTGGCAGCATCACAGTAATGTCTGTCTCAGTGGTTCAGAGTGAACTTCCCTGCTTCCAGTGTCCCTTCTGTTTCTTAAACAGCAGGGGTTGCCACCACAATGGCACAAATCTCTCTCTCACCTGCTTTGCTTATCCTGCTGGTTTTCTCTTGCCTTATGCTCAGATTTGCCCACTCTCATCTTTCCACAGCCGCACAGATGAGACTGCTGACTTACTCCGAGTGCCCATGACCCTCTCTCTCCTCCCATACCTAAAGAAAAGGATGTCTCCAAACAATTTTTTCTCTACGAATAAGTATAGTATCAATTTAGTACCTGATATGTCCTCTATCAAGGGAAGCTAGATCTATGATTATCTCATCAGTTTATCCCCATGTCAGCTTGTATGAGTCTTGGAAATAAACACAGTATAAATGAATTCAGCAGGGGGTCAAATTGAAGCAGCATCCGATTTAGCCAGAAAACAATTGCCGCTTTCTTCCCTTCACACCCCCCACTTACTTTGTCACAGGGGAGATGGGAAAAAAGTGTCAAAACAAAGTAAAACTATGTGGTCTGAAGAAGGAAAGGTGCATGTTATTCATACAGATTAGCCTAACCCAGGGCAAAATCCAAAAGAAAGCTTAAAGTCTCTTGAGCATGGAGTAGACCACTACAGTCAGTCAGTTGCCATGCCGCTTACCCAGGTCAAGAAGCACCTGTCTAAAAGTGAAGCAGCCTCATTCTATTATATATTAAGACTAAAAGGCTATGTGTTTCATTGTTCTTGCAGTGACAGTGGTGGGAAATATTTAAATATATTGTAAGACCATCAGAAACAGAGAGAGTTTAGGGGGTGGAACGAATAACAAGATGGGAGAAAGAGGCCAAGGTTTTTATTCTGATTATTTCTGATGCTAATATCTATTCAGCTACAATAGCGTCTCTACAAAGAGGAGGAAGCTTTAGTAATTCTGATCTCTCACCAGTGTAAACTGGCAGTAACTCAACTGACATCAAGGATATCAGCACCAGGAATAATCAGTGTGAAACTGGTCTGAATAAGAGGAGAATCAGACCCAATGTTTTATTAGGGATGTTAAGCCTCACCCTTAACAGGTG